CGTAAAGCAGTATGCTTTTATTCCAAGACCCTGCCCTAAGAAGTTTGCAGCCAAGAACCATGTAAGTTGAGATAAATTGTATATAAAAACCAAAGTCTATGCTAAGTGGTTTAACTGAAGGGATTACAGTAGTGAAAGGCTCTTAGAAAATTTTCCAGCTAATAGAACCTTGGCATTTTGCCTTGAGCAGCCCATTTCAAGAAACATTCGATTCTAAAAATTAACTTGACACTTTGCATTTTACAGCATATTACTGAAAGAATTTTTGTGGGAAATCAAAGGGTTCCTGTGATCATATCAGATCTTAATAACTAATAGAGCTATTGTGATTATAAAGAGTATGACCTAAAGCTGTTATTACTTCTCCATCTTGCAGAATTTTTTTATTTCAAAACTGTATTTCTGTGTTCCTCTTTGATTCTGCCCTATAAGTGCTAACACTATTTTCTGGTTTAGTTTTAACTAATGTTTTGGCTTTGTTATGTTAAGCTATACAGTCTCTTTGGCCACGTTAAGAAAGTTGGCAGAGCATTAAAATTCCAAAAATATGAGACAAGATTCAGACAGTCAATCCAACTGTATTCCTGTAATAAGCAGTAACCTTGCAGAAACCCATCTGAAACTGGAAATGCAGCCTTCCTGGAGCATTCTGTGTAGCGAAACAAAGCAAGTCTGACAGCAGAATCAGGATTAAGACACAGTTTTGCCCTCTAACCACAAAACCAATCACTCTGCACCATAAATCACCAATTTCTTCTGCTACACTAACAAAGAAAATAAAGATGCTGCCATGGGTTGGTGACAAACTTTCTGTCTAAGTGGTTGTAACCCCCTTTCCTGCCTTTGTCCAAATACTAATAAATGCAAAATAGAAAACAGAGCTGTCCCCAAAGACAATGTAACCATGTAGCATCCAAACAGGACAGCAGCCTACCAATCTCTAAAGCTGCCAAAACAAATGAGACATATCATCCTGTTTTTTTGAAGATGCTTATTGATATAAACATATAACAACAAATTATTAAAATCTTCCCAAGTGTGGTAACTTGCTTTTAATTTAGCGTAACATATAAAGGTTAGCACAATCCCAAAGGATCATCCCAACTAGGATTTCCAGTATAAAACAAAGTCATAGCTCCTGTAGAGGGCTTTATAATGTATATGGTTTGCCTACAGTCAGCCAGAAAACCCATCCATATAGGTGAGCCTTCAGGACCTTTATTCTAGGCTCCTTCAGATTCTGGTGTCTCTGCTGGAGCTGTGAGTGCTGCAAGGTTTCTGTTGAATAACAAAAGCTGAAATTCTGCGGAGTACTTAGCACCTTGGTGCAGATGACACTGCTCTGTATCACTGTATGTGTTCTGTGAAGGAGTTTGCTTGAAATAAAAGGAGTGTAACGCAAATAAGTAAGTCCCCTTTGTTGCACTCCATCCTGATGTCTAGCAATAACAAAGGTCAATAGCATTAAAACAATCATGGAAATAATTAGTCGATATTTAAGGGGTACTTACTCTTCAGAGCTACTGTCCTAGTGAAAGGATGGGCTTGGGCTTCTCCAAATTTTTGTGGATCAACAGCAACCCTTACTGGTGGTGTACTCCCCGTGATCCAATGAAAGCATATGGTACAGAGTACTGCTGTATTGCAACTCGCTGTTGTGAGTTACTTCTGTCACAGCACACACGATCAGTTGATTGCATTTCACAAAAGCCTGGATGGAGGAGGTGATTTCAAAAGAGATTTTGTTCACAACGGGGTAAAGCCAACACTAAATCACCCACAGAATTGAGGAAGTGCAACCAGCTCTCGGGTTATTGCCAATGTTAGGTAGAGGCCTGTACCGTAAGTAGCTCAAGATTAAAGCAAGCACACATGCATATCGTACCCAACACATCTGTTATATCGCATTGTTTTTTGGAAGACTGCAAAGAATAAATTAAATTCCTCCTGCTGCAAAGGCATCCTGAGACAACACAAAGAATGCATCAAGATAATGGCTAGTAAACAAGAGAAATACTGGAGGCAAATAGATCTCAGTTGAAGCACTGGCAAATAACCAATATAATAAAGAACAATAAACATTTTAATCAGCTATTCCACCCATCAGCTGAGTTTGACATCCGTAATTTGCTGGTGGTGGTAGGAGAATAGCAGCAGCAACAGCAAAAACTTAAGCTTTACAAGCCCTACTGCCAACTCCTGAAACTTGCCAAGACACCAGTAACCCTTCAGCAGCACGATAGTGGAAGCTGGTCACAGATAACTACTTTATCATCAGGCCAGGGCCAACTTGTGATCAGCTCCTAAAATTCAAGGTTCTCATTTCTTTTTGTCAGCTCTTACTTTACAGGTCCTTTTCTTTCCCCTACCTTATTTATTTTCTGTTTAGTAATTACAGCTTAGCAGAGTGAACTCTAATATTGAGAGACACTACAGCAAGCCTAATACCAAGGAAAAAGCCAAAACCAGAAAAGCCTGATAGTGATAGAAGTTTGCTAGGTATCGAGTTGACTGATAGTTATGCCTCACTTGAGCATCGAGTTTACAAGCAGACTAGAAACTGCTTTTTCTCTCTCTAGTTGTTTCTCTCATTGCCCGCATTTTTGCTTTCTTCTGTCCAAAGAAAACAGGCCTGAACTTCCAATAAAAAACCAGCAAGCACCAAAACAACTCATTCAACTAACTTGCTCTTTTTCCTCCAAAAGTACAATATCTTCCTTAGTCACATCTAAAAAGCTGTCATTTCTGAAAAAAAAAAAAGGAACAAAAAACCCCAAACCCCACCCCTTTGAAACCTGTATGTTTGTTTGCAAAAGAATTCACAAACTGAGGCTTCTATATGCAGAACTGCAAATACTGCTTAACCACTGAATATTGTCCCTGTACAGCCTTCAGGTGCATTTGCTCCTGAGTGCCTTTACCTTTCCCACCCTTTGCCCACTGAACATCACACACACAAAATCCTCTCCCCTGATACTCCCCACCACAGATTGTGCTATATGAGGAAACAAGAGTTTCAAATTCTAGTGGAAAGCATTGTACAAGTCAGAATGAATTACGGTCTTGGTTGTTACATATTTTGCCCTGAGCCTTCCTTTTCAAGAGGAGGAATTTCATTATTAATGTTTTGAATTGCAATTTGCCATGAAGTAACATTTAAAATGTACACTTAAAAGCTTCAGAAAATGTGAATTAGGCGCTAAAATTTGATACAATCCTGTAGCAAATACTTTAAGTATTTTTTGGTTGTTAGAGAGGTTTGGTTTTTTTTTTTAGATCAGCTAGCATCAGTAAATTAGATCACTGGGTTCCATTTTTCAAGTCTTAAACTTTTCTTAAGTTCATCTTGGTCTTGGATTACCTACCATCCCACACTGTGATAGTCTTTGCCAACTTTATACCAAGAGAATCCACAGATTCTTGATAGTGTCAGGCTCTCCGAAAAGGTCTTTCTGCTCCATTGTAAATAAACATTTCTTAATTTCAAGAGGGCTTTTTTAAATGCAGCAAGAATGTAATACGGCTACTGCCTGTTTCATTAAATAGTTGTAGAAAATTGGAAGGGCAGGTATAATTTCTCGTTTTCTAAATATTTGACCTTTTCTTAAGTATTTTTATGTATAGCAGGAAAAGTACATTTTCTAATTGTGAAAGCTGACTATAGTTCAACTATGTAGTATTGTGTCTAAATCCATACAGTTAGTTTTCAAGAAATATTTGATATTTGCTTGTAAAACCAGCTAATGATTTGCATATAACTTTCTCGTACAAATCAAGGCACTGAAATTTAAGAAGTTCTCTTTGCTGGGGTGGAGTGATGGTGGAATTACAGCACTCATTGCAGCTGCAAAGTATCCAACTCTTATCCACAAGTTGGTTGTCTGGGGAGCAAATGCCAGCGTTACTCAAGAGGATGTGAGAATTTATAATGGTATGTACAAACTGAATATCGTATCCTAAAAGAATTATTTTCATTTCTTCTTGACCTAAGAATCTTAGTCATGTAATAGCTAAGTAGAGACAGTTGAGGACACAACAAACCTAAAGGAACAGGACACAAAATTCACCAAGTTGCTAAGTCTAGGGATAGATTAAAGTCATAGCGAGAAACTCCCTAACAGTTACTCTGGGGGTAATACAATAGAATTTTTAACAAGTCCTTACCAACTTACGCTGCTGAAAAGCGTAAGCTATAATAGCTTATCAGTAGTTTTCAGAAAGTCAAATTTCTGTTGCTGTAACAAATTCCTAAAAAGAAATGTCAGATAATACTATTGACCTCAGGCTTGATTTCTTTTCTCACATCTTACACAACCTTTAAACAAGGTCCACAGAAAATCACTGGGCTAGCACACAACAGCTTTTTCCTCTAGGCAGTAAGAAAGCAAGCTCGTAACTTACCATTTGAGTTCAGGAAACAAATGAATCATTCAAGTAATTGTCCCAGGATGCCTTTTTAATTTGCATGCCTTTAAAGTTAATTATTGTGGTTACAAAACCCTTGCAAAGTAAAGAAACATAGGATTTCTGATCCTTATCCCACTCATATGAAATAGAATCTGATCATTTGTCACTCTCAAGGAAAATAGCAAAAACTGCTAGCGAACTCAGAAAGGGACTGTATTTCCTTTTGACGTTAGAAATTAAAAGAGTTAACCCTGCAGGCTCTCAACAAATGTAACCCAGTATAGTTTAATTTTAGTGATTGGAGTTTGATTTGCACCAACTGTGAACTCTGACTCTCTGGCTTCAGCTAAATTACAAGTGTATGTAGTGCCCATGTGTACTTAACCTTACCTATACTAAAGCACTTTCATTGGTATTAGTAGCAGTATAGTTTTTTAGTTCAGTAAGCAAAATGCTTTTTAGGTCTGTAAAAGTGCTGCTTTATTTCTTTACATACTTTTAAATTTATGAAGTTTTTATTATATAATTATGAAATGCACGTCGCTATCAGCCAATAGGCAAAAATTAAAAAAAAAAAAAAAAAAGAAGAAGAAGAAAAAAAAGAAAGAAAAAGTCTTACTTTACATGGAGAGCCCACAGCAATGCTGACTTTTGGCCTCTTCACAGACTGGTGCTTTCAACATCTCTCTCTGGGCAACAGAACTCAGAGAGTACCAGCACAAGCCTTCTACCACTGGCCCATCAGTGCATCTCAGCTGCAATGCAGGGTTTGATAGGAGACAAAGGTGTTTATTTAGTATCTATGTCCTTTCAACATTGGCTTTTTTCCCCTCCTCTCTTCTTAAATTAAGGCCAGCCGCAAGAATAAAACAGTAGCTTCTATAAGGGAAACAGCTGTTCAGTAACAGCTAGCCTGGGGTGAGCAAACTCATTTCCAGTCAGATGTTGTCATAAAGCACTTTCAGTCACTACTGCCTTGCTCATTTGGCTGGACAGGTTCTGTCTGTTAATTAACACCTGAACTCCTTTCTTCCCTTAATTCCTATTTGAAACCAATTGAAAACTTTTCTAGTGGCGTATATTACTGCTTGATGATTCAGTACTTTTCAGGTCTCTTTCAGGTTCTCTGCTGTGCCAACATTGTTCTAGGCTTTATCAGTACAAATCTGTACAGCTGAAAAAGTGAGGTGTGTTCATTCTAGTTTCTGCAAACAGTTTAGTGAAAGTCACCCTTGCGGATATCCAATTTGTGAGCAGTACTCAAAATTTTAGGAGAAAAAAATAGGTAAATCTGATAAATAACTAACTAGAATGTCAGATTATTTGTACAGCTTTAGCCAGCCTGCCATGAGTCATGGGGCTCTACTCAGTAGAGTTCCTTGTTTTTCTCTAAGACTATGGCAAATGTACCATGATGTCAGCCTGCTGGAATGCCTTAGTAAGAGCTTCCTTCCTCTAAATAGTGGTAGGAGCCATGGAAGAACTTCCATCCATGAGCCAAAGCAAAAGGCTGAAGGATATGAAAAAGAATTGCCAGCTCTGGCACATTGTTATAAAACAGTCCCCTTTTTATACACAAGGTACCTCCTTGAGCTCTTCTTCTGCAAGCCCTCCAAAAAGAAACATCAGAAGTTTTAGGACCGAGTCCTTTATCATTTTTTTTCTCTTGTTCCTTGCGACCATAATAACAAGGCGGCCTTCTGCAACTCAGAAAGACCCCAGCAGAGATCATAAAACTACATTTTTTATATTCTTCCCATGCTATGAATTATTTAAAACCATTCAGTGCAGTTTCAAGTTTGACATACATATCTGTGGTCTGGTTTGAAAACTTACTCATATTAGGTGTTGGCAGTACTGGTTTATATCTTGTTGCTGGAAAGGACTTAACATATTTCAATGTTATTTTATGTAGGCATTCGAGATGTTTCCAAATGGAGTGAAAAGGTCAAGAAACCACTGGAGGAGATGTATGGTCATAAGTACTTTGCAAAAACCTGCGAGGCTTGGGTAGATGGAATATCTCGCTTTGCTGAAAAATCAGATGGTAAGGCTTTTACAATGTAAAACTGAAGCAATTATAGTAGCAGACAGTTCTGGATAAAAAAATCTAACAATACTCCTAGCAGCCAGTAAAGGAAGGACTCTGCATATGGCATTAAAAGCTGGGTCTGACTCATACTCATGAATAAAGCAATTACTTTGTAGACTATTCACAGAACCAGCAAGGTACAGGAGGAAAATGCATTTATGGGAAGCTGATGAGTCCCTCCTCTTGTTCCACCACAAAACTACATTATTAAATCATTGCCTTTGTGCAGCCTGAACAGGAGAGATTCTGCTCAAGCTTTTTTCTCCTCTCCCCTCTCAGTGTCAAAGGATTACCTCTTAGTGACATTGTTAAGATACCCCAAAAGTGAGGTGTGTTCATTCTAGTTTCTGCAAACAGGAGCTGAAGACTGTTTCAAAACTAGTAGCATATAATGAGTTAAAAAAGAAGGAAGTTCAGATTTTGGGAACTCAGAATTAACAAAAGACATTTAAAAAACACTATTGACACAGCTTAGGTGTTTCAAATCCAAAAAGAATAGTTAAACTAGACAATATAATAACTATTAAATGTTTATCTCTGAAGATTCTCTCTACACAGATTACTCTACACAGACTTTTGCAACCAAGGATACAATGAATAATAACCTGCAGTTCTGTTTTAATTCAGAGGAAAATTGTTTTTAATTTGCCTAAAGCAGACATACATAGTACATAAAACAAGGACTCTGTAATTCTCTTATATATGTTTTCCTGTAGCTCTCATAATGAAAGAGAGGAGGTGACATGCATTAACAGGCAGCAGAAACTACAAGGAAAATATTCCTTCATTTTGTATGTTTCCTATAAAGTTTTGCACAGGATCAGCAATATGGTACTAGAATTTCTCCCCGTAGAGAGATGTAACAAATTATGATCTGATTTTATTTTACCCTTTCTAGAATGCATCTCCTTAAAACTAATTTATTCTTAAGTCCAAAGCCCAGGCTGGTGAAGCTCTGGCTGTGATGTCCTTTTACTGCATGCACACGCCTCAAACACTATGAGAGGGAGAGACTGTGAAAAAGGCGGCACCTGGAGACATGTAACAAGGAGATGAGTTACCTAGATGCTGTAACTGGGTCAGATATTGGGCGAAGCCTAACGTTTGCTAAAAAAGATGAGCAATCATCAGACTGCAAATTTTTTCCAGGAATAGCTCCGGGAGGGCAACTTTGAACACAATCAGGCCTCCTTTGAATTAAACACACTACACAAAAGGTTATTAATGGCAAATACAAGAAAGGTGGTTAATGAAATCCATCAGAGATAAAAGGAGGACAGCTAAACCTCTGTTGGTCCAAAAAAACCCCTCAAGCTCTTTTTAAGAAATAAGATTATCTGCCCTAAATGAGATAGCTTTTAGTGTGAAAAGCTACAAGAAACGAATTTTTAGAAGGTGCCAACAATTAATGAAACTGAATAAGTTGCATAAAGCTGCAAAATTCAAGATTCTTCTTGCTGTTCTGTGTTAATCGGAATAAATACAATCTAGTGGTTATAGTAAAAAACAGTTTTAGGACCTGGAAACCAGGAAATTAAATAGTTTGACTGCCAACTATGTCCTTAGATAAGTAACTTAAATTTACTCGTTACTTGTCCTGAAAAACAGTCAACATTTGCGCAGGTGTTTGAGGACCATGGGTGAAATGCTCTAAATGAAAATATTTAAGTGGTAGAACTGCAGACTAAAACTATATAAATGACCAAACTATTGGAAAAACTCTGTGAAACAGTGTATGACCTTAGTGCTTAGGTATGAGCTTTAACTCATAGTGCTACTTTGCACAGCTGCTGGTAGCAGCAAGGGGACAACTACAAATAGGACAAAGTCAGCTCAAAGATAAATGGAACACAAAACTCACCAAGTATGTTTTGCCCACAGAATCTCTTGCGAGAGCATGGGAAATTAGGCAAAGAGTTTGGAAACTGGGTTACTATGGGATGAGGGAAAAAGGCGGG